GACCCAACAATAACCCACTTAATCCCCTACAAACCATAAATTATAGTCTGTAGTTTATAAACCGCAGGGCACCATAAAAGAAGATAATTGCAGGACTCTACTTCTCTCTTACACATGTAATATCCATTCATCATAATTTTTCCCTTACTAATTTCTCAATAGTCAATATGCACTTTCTTCCTGCTTCCCATGCCAAAAAAAAAAAAAAAAAAAGAAATCTTGGAAGAGCATTCACTTTCCATCTCTACTTGAATGGAAACCTGACTTCACCTGCACCTTCATTCTTACCAAATGGTTAAGTAAGACTTGACCGAGAACTCTTCCTTCTTCTCAAGTTTCCACACTGGCTGATCTCTATTACCATTAAGATTAACCAAAGAAAGTAGATGGAGCAATGCCTCATATTTCTCAATCTCCCAATTATTAAGGTTTTTGATCAAATTGACATCCTATACCCTAGTCCCATCACCTCCTCTGTAAGCCTCCGCAACTGTAATATTTTTGAATTGTACAATGACAAAAACCAGGGGGAATTGACTTTGAAGATCTCCCCCACCCACCCAATCATCCCTCCAGAACAAAATGTTATTATCTCTTCCCACTTTCCAACTAACACACTCCTGGAATTTCTATCTGTTTGTCCTGGAATTTCTAATATTTACTCTTGTGAACCATCCTCTATCCATAGACCCAAATTTAGCATCAATCACTCTTCTCCAAAGCCTCCCATTCTCCTTCATGTATCTCCATAGCTTCTTTCCTTGTAAAGCCAGATTCATGTCTATAAAGGATCTTAGCCCTAATCCCCCTTGAACCATAAGCTTCTTGATTTCGCTTCACTTCACCAAATAATACTTTCTCCCATCCTTCGCAACTTTCCAAAGAAACCTGCACTGAATTGTCTTTAAATTCTTTGCCACTTTCACTGGATTATCAAAATAGGCAAATAATATAGAGAAAGATTAGCCAACGTACTTTTTATAAGTGTCAATCTACCACTTTTAGATAAGAGATTTCTCTTCCAACATGCTAATCTTCTTTCAAATAATTCAATCACCGGATCCTATATTCTCTCATCTTTGTAGTTGGACCCCAATGGTATCCCCTGATAATTGATTGGTAATACCTGTGTCTTGCATCCCAACACCCTTGCCAATCTCGATTCATCACTTCCATCACTCAATCTCACCAACTCAGATTTAGTCAAATTTATATTAAACCCTGTAAACCGCTTGAAAACAAAGTAGAACACATCTCAAATTAAGCATCATCTTCTTATTTGGCTCA